GTCTCTAGCACTAACCTCTCTTGTGAGCTCTAGACCCTTTTCTTCAATTGCCTATTCAACCCTGCACTCAGATATGTCAGAGGCACAACAAGCTAACCATGCCCAGAAAAAAATTCATCTCCTTGATATAGTTGTCCTCCAATATTCTCTATTAAATAGAGACACTAGATCTTTGTTCAAAACAAAACCAGTAAGTCATTTTAGACTCTTTCTTCATACCTACCACATGTGGGTAAAACTGCAATATTTCCAGAAGTCTCACCTGGCTTTAGTGCATCTCCATATCAATAGGTGTTTCCAAGGGGTGGAGAGAAGTAGTCCACCTCCATATCAATGGGTAATTATAAGGTGGAGCTAGGGCATATCTGGATTGGAGAGGTTGGGTGAGGTCTCTTTTTACTGCATCTGGGTCACATATATCTCAGAGCTATCCAGTTCTCTTTATCCCTACCCATTACCAATTAATGGTAAGTCTAAGGTACTACCACCTCTCTCCTGAACTACTACCATAGCCTCTCAAGTGGTCTCAAGACACTGCATGTTCTTGTCCTGTCAACCTTGCCAGGCTTCTGGAAATTTCTCTTCACTTACTATGCTTCTTCCACTATGTCAAGTTTATTTGACCTCAGAGTATTTGCACATGCTGTTCTCCCTATGGAATGTTTGCCCTATTCTTTCCTTTTATTTATCCATCAAATTTTAGCTGAGGTATCATCTCCTTGCTAAAGTCTTCCCTTACTCTCCAGGCCATGCAAGACAGCATCCCCTTCACTTTATATGTGCCCAAGCACTCTATACTTCTTCTTTACAACATAGTATTCTTGTAAATATCTGATTAGTGTTGTCCATCCAGTAGGCTATAAACTTCACCAGGGCATAGACTGTGTCTTGTTTCCACTGTTAGCACACACAGTAGGTGCTGAATAAATGTTGAATGAATGAGTTTAGGTACTTATCTTTGACAGATTGTAAACTTTCTGATTACAAACTAAATCCCCACAGAGCGTAGCCCAATATGTTGTATAATCTATTTCTCTTGTTCTCCTCCATGTATGATTTAATCAATACTTGATGTGAAAATGAATTGGAATACCTGGAATTGCTCAAGTTATTCTTCAAAATCTCACCTATATTTAATATGTGCATTTTCTTTTTCTATTCTACATATGTTCCTTACTTTTGTCTCCTTTTTCTACAGGTATAAAAATTCATTCTTTGTGGATAGAGGAAGCTTCTCTAGACAGTAATTCTTTGCCTTTTAATGTCGTTGCATTTATTATACAGCAAAAATGGAATTTCTTTGTACACTTAGAACATTACTTTTACCTGAGAGGAGATGTTCTCATTTATTGGGGGAAGGAAGAAAATAATCATGTATATGAAGAACGGGCATTGACTGTGAACACTAAGTCAAATGATCAGAGGTTTGGAATCTGCACTGTAGGTGATAATCCATCATATTTCTATTCTGCCTCTTCCCTTCCTCCATATAAGTTAAATCATCAGGATCTGCCTTTGTGTAAACTTTCCTATAGTCTGTTAATAAGTGTTGCTGTGGCTATAAATTAAAGGGATGGTAGAATTCTGCTTATTTTGAATTTGGATACAAGGATTTAATCATCCACAGAGTTCAATTGTTGCTTGCAGAACTTGGAGTGTTATAGAATAGACGGTTTTGAAGTATCTGTGCTCAGAAAGCAAAGCATGGTGGGATGAGTACTAAACTTGAAGTCCAAAGACTGGCAGTACAATCTTGACTCAGCCTCTATGTAGCCATGAATGACTTACTAATCTCTATATGTTCCTATCCTCTTTTGTAAAACAGACTATAATACCTCCAGTTGTTACTCACAGGGTTGCTGAAAGGATCAAGTGAAGAAAGCACAAAATGGAAGATACATTTAAAAAAATCCTCCAAGGTGGGGAAATACTGAAAGATGTTGGCACTTTGGATGCTTTATCTCACTCTCACCTCCGTCACCTTCACTGATAGCTGGTATTCATGACCCATTTTTTCACATCTTATTACTAAGGAAACAAACATACCAATACATTTAAAAGTCAGGAGAAAATAAAGGGTGGGAGGTTGGGAATAAGAAAAAATAATAACACCTCAACATTATAAATCCCACAAATTTACAGTTGTTACAAATCATATTGGGATAAAGAGACTAATGATCTTTATGTTTTTCAGACAATAGATATTTGTGCCCAGCAAACCAAATAGAATTTATTTTCTAGGCATAAAAAATGACATACTAAATATTAATTCAAATATTACTGTTTTTATACAATGTGAATCTATGTCAAATAGTGATGGTTTCAAACAAGAGAAACCCAATGTTTTCTTCCACATAATTCTTTATTTTGTTTAAAAAAAGTTCCTTTTGTAAAATGGCAGGTGAGTAAAATGTATTACTGAACATAACCATGCAATTGCATTAAATGGGCCCCTTTTACGTATTCAGTAAGTATGGTGAGGTCTACAGCAGTCAAGCTCAGTCATGAGTCCAAAGCTTCAGTTTTGGCATGGATGGAAAGGTTAGGCTGGATGAAACCATCTTTACTTGATTAACCATAATATTTTCTGCCTAATACATAATACATAAGTCTTTTACAATATGCCCTTGTTTTTATACAACCCATGATTCTGAAATGTATGTGAAGTACATTTTTAGAAATAGAATTAGTTTTGAACATATTGGCAAATTTACTATTTCAAGAATTCATGTGGTGCGTCTTTTCATTACTAAGTTGAATTATATGAAATTGTGGATATTTGAGCATTTTTGACCTACAGAAATGGCAATTTCATATGGCTCAGCATAATTAAAAAGTGAGGAATCATTCTTTCACCTTAAAACAGAGTATATCTCTATAGAAACAACCTACCTGTTTATATACATTTGGACTAACATGCAGTTTTTGGGAGAGTGGGGTTGGGGAAGGTAATTGCCAAATCAGCATTTCGGGTAGATGGATAAATTCTAATTATGCCATTGATTCCTCTAGCTGCCTCTTTGAGCAGTGATATATGTTGATTAATATATTTGGAAATTTAATATAATTTAATATAAATGGGAAAATTCTTTACAGTAAGTTTTCTAAAATGAAAATATTCAGTTTATTTTCCTAAATATCATGTGAGTCACCATAATGACACATCGGCTTAAATGCATCTCCATTTATATTATCACTGGAAATTTTGGGGGGGTTATGCTGCTATTTTACTGAAGTTGGTGCTATGTGCTTTAGTTAATGCTCAGTAAAGATCTGGATCCCATGGGGTAGTTGTGATGAAAGAGGGTGGTTGTTTTCCAGCTGAGTAAACCTAATCATAAATTAGGGCTCTTCATCCAAGTTGGTGATTAAAGAGCAGTGTTAAACTCCTGAAATTTGGATTGGCAGGTCAGGTGGTCAGGGAAGAGATTTTCAGTCTGTCTCTTCCGGGCATTCCACATCAGGTTCAGCAACAAGGCATTGAGGTACCTTGCTATTCCCTGCTGTTGAAAGGGTCATCAGTTTCTTCATTTATCCAGTCACTGATTTCTTAACTGTAAAGTGCATTCAAATACTGTGAGTACAAAAGGGAGAGCCAGGAGTAAGGGGAGATGTGTGTCTTTAAGGAGTTCTGGGGTTATTTTGCCAGCCTTTGATGAAGTCCATGTATGGCTGCCAAGACCTAAGATTTTAAAGGGTGCGCAGAGACCGGGTGTTGAATAAAGACACAACTTAAACTACCAAATGTAATAATGTAAGAGTCACTTTGCATTTCGGAAAACATAATGCCAAAAGGGAAGTGCATGCCCTATCCAAGTCTTAGCCTACCTGCTGATCATCCCTGAATGGTGCAGAATGCAGCTGCCATCTCTTACAGTGCGCTGCTGTTGTAACAGGTGTGTGAGTCAGGCTTGCTGCTAAGTTTAGCTCTGCATGTGGGGATTTCACCGTTTGCAGCCCCTTGGAGAGGGGAGTATTGGCAAATGACTGTGTATAAAAGTAGAAAGCACTTGGGAATTTCACCACCAAGCTAGATTTAGACCAGAGTGAAGGGGCCAATCTAAATTGGTAACAGACTAGGGAGACTGCACTGCACATCTGGTGGAGGTGGCATTAACCTAACATCCATACCATTTCTCTCTCACCACCACTGTAGTTCCTGAGGGAGTACCCTGTGAAATTTGTTGACCACCTTGTAGGTGCAAGGGAGAACTGATTATTTTTTTTGCAGGTGGACTTTAGCACAGGTGTATTCGTTCTTTGGTGGCAAGAATATGACCAGCCTTCTAATTTCTAGTTTGTAAACAATACTCATCTCCTTTGGTTCCCTTTTAGAACGTTAATTTTTAAAAAATCAAATTCGTTCTCCACTACTGGCATACTAGGGCTACTTATGAGAATGGAATTTTTCCAAATATATTTCTCTTATAGGTAATAAGGGAAACACTTTATCTTTTGGCAGGGACTAGGAGGGGAGGAGCATTTTCTGGGAAAGACAAATGTGACATTTGAGGACACTGATCCTCAGTAAAGATTTATAGGAGGGTGTTGTTTAGTCCTTTCCTTCTTTGTCTCTCTTTTTACTTACACTCAGATCTAAAAGGAATCTAGTGGTGACTAAATAGCTCTCTGATCATTTTTCAGAAAGAAAAACCTGGCACCCAAAGGCTTGAATGTTTTGTCCAAAGCCACAATCATTCAACGACAGAATACCAAAATTATTTAATTTCTGCCTTAAAGTACAGTGGAGTTGTCTTTGGCAAGGCCACCTTTAAACAGAGCTCGTATTTGTGTGCAACTCAGTCCTGGAATGTGATGGGGAGGGAGAAAAAGGCAAAGAGGCTGCACGTACAATGTAAGGTTCATTGTTGTGAGCACATTTTGACTTAATTTTTGCTTGGTTTGGGGGAAACTCCTCATTCCACATTGTCATTATAAATCTGTCATTATCTGAATTTTTAGAAGTACAGTGATAATAATGCAGATAGAAAATGCACATTTTACCCTCTCTAGATGAGTTTGTTGACTAGAAATTATTTCTGCAAATTGGCTATTTTTAAACTGAAACAATTTTTTTAAATCTCTTCTTTCATTTGGGACAGACCTGATGGCCTTAGATGATGAAAAAATCACTGCACGTTTGAGAAAGGGCTTGGGTCCTTTCATTAACCTGCCACACGATACAGCTTCATGTCAGCAGAGGTGGTTCTTATAGGGTCCAAGTGCTAAGTTAAAACTTGTCCTTTTCTTGGGATGCCCTCATCAACCCTTTCAAAGGCAAATCTTCCTTGTTCTTGGAGCTTCCAGGGATCCTGTTTTGTTTTGTTTTTATGTAGCTGCTTATGAATTTCTGTGGTTTGAGGTTTCCTGGAGCCCAGGTGTTCTGTGGTTACTATGGAAACCTGCCCTCCCGGCCAGCTGCCGTTTCCTATATTTCTGGCAAAGAATGAGTTTTAAAACCTCTTAGATATTCCACAGCAGATTCAAGATAAAGAGTAACACAACAAAAATATAACCGACTGGTTAAACAAACAACTTGTTGATTCCCTACATGGGAAGCCATGTACAACAGAGTAAGCTTTCCTGAACATCAACATACAACAGTTCACTCAGATTCACTAAAGCTCATATCCATCCTGGCTTTAAGGAGTGGGGATTCGACTCTGCATCTCTACATCTGTGAATTGAGGAACGTTTTCTGTGCTCTCAGATGTGATGGGTGAGATGACGTGTTTGAGCCGAAGGAGCATTGTGAAGAGCAGGATGAGGAGAATGGCCAGGAGGCTTAGGAATAAGCCCACGTACATGTACAGGTTGGAATACTTATCTGAAGTGGTGTCAACCTCTGTTGCCAAGGTTGGGAAATGGGCTCGCCCAGTGAGATTTCCATGGTACTTGAAATGTACCTCCGTCATCACTCGAGACATGAGTTGGTACCTGTTTCTATTTGATTTCTATTGCCCTTGAGGCATTCCACAGTGACTGAGACTGTCTGAATATATTGGAGCTGTTCTAACAGTCTCATACAAGGCAGTCACAACCAGAGCCAAGTCAGTAGTGCACGAGCAAGAAAATGGTAATGTTCTAATTTGGCAATTGCCACACTCTGTCCTCCAGCACAGCACCCTCTCCTGAATAGGTTTTATCAGAAATTCTTGGTCATTTAAAAAATATATATATATATATAATATAAATCTTTTATTTTCCACAGTCCTACTCTTATACTCATTAAAATAAATACGATGAAACTGCTTTATAATACTGGTATGGGGCTAAGAATCAGAGTATTATATCAGACTTCTACTGTGTTTTGGTAGAGGGACAAATGGCTCTGTTTTACCTACAGCTCATCTAAATGTATGCATTAATTTTGTGGATTTAATTGGGTTCTTCTGTGAGGAGACTTCCTAAAGGTTTTTGTGTATTTCAGGCTCAGCATATCTGAGTTTTCACCTGTCGTCTCTTTCTGAATCTCCCCTAAGGATGGAGCTTGTAAGGTTTTTGCCCAGCTGCCGCAGCTTGAGAGCTATAAGTCTAAAGGACGTGAGTTTTCTACAGCTTTGTTGACGTCCCTCACTGTAGGCTGGAGGGAAAGTGTTGTCAGACCTGATAATTCTCAGTTGGAGGAAGTCTCAGAGTTGCTGACAGCAGTAGTTCTAGGCTCAGAAGATTTGACTCAAGATTCTTTAACAGATTAATTTTCCTGAAAATAAAAAACAAAAATAAAAAATTCAGCTATCTAAGAACAGTTGACAATTTCTTTTGGAATAATAATTAACAGATACATTGCAAAATGGCTTGCTATGGGCAAATTAGTTTTAAAATGATATCCTGAGTTTTCATTTTGAATGCTTTTCTTCCTATGTGATAAATAACTATTAAAGAAAAAAATTCAGATCACTGAACAGCACCTAATAACTAGGCTAGATTAGGACAGTGTTTTCTAAACTAAGTCATTATAAAATTTGCCTGAGGTACTTATTTAAAATGCAGACCTGGGGCCCTGACCTAGACTTTCTGAATCAATCTCCACAGCAGGAGCATGTACCCCTAACTCAAGAGAGTCAGATTTTATTGGTCTAAGTTGGGTTCCAAGCACTGGAATTTTTCAGTTCCCCAAGTGACTCTAGAGTGTAGCTGGGACTGAGAGTCACTGCTCTAGTTTAACCAGGAAAACTTAGCACTGAAATAAAGAGCCCTCAATGTAAAGATCCATTTTATGAACTCCAGGATGAAGTGCCAAGGATCACTTTAACAAATCATGGAATTTTCAGGAATGCAAGCTTCCCTGAATTTTGTTTTTGTGTTCTATCTCTTCCATTTAGGTCTGTGGGGTGAGAATACACTTTTTTCTTCTTTAGTATTTGTAGATCAGAAGGAATTGAGAGGGTGTTCGGAGCAAATGACTCCATCTTTCATTATTGGTAAAGATAGAACTTTGTCTTTATTGGCAGAACCATTCCAGTGTGTAAATAGGGTCAACTATTTACAGTTGAAGCCTTCCAAAATGATTTAGCTTGTCATTTCAAACATGAATTTTGAATATGAGTGACTGAAATAAATCATCAAAACCACCATTACTCATCAAACTTCTACGTGCAATTGTATCGGAGAGCTAGTTCTGTCACTTTAACATATCCAAGGAGAGTTAATAGAAATAGCTCCAACAGTCACATTACTCTTTCTATAATCTTCAATTCTGCCCCCAGCCTGGGAGCACTTCAGCTTAGTTTATATTCACTAGCCCACATTACAATACCTTCTGTAATCTGCATGATTCTTTGTCTACCTACTTACTGCCCCCACTGCCCATGCAGAGTGACCTGGTTCAAAAGAAATAAGAGCAATGGTCTAGGAAACATTTTTGCAATAAAGGACCATCTGTTTTGATTTCTGATTCATTACTAAGTGGAACAATCATAGTAGGTACCCTTTAATTCCCAAGAAGCACCATGTCCCAAAGGCAATGATTCACCTGAGTAGCTTGTTATAAATGCGGATTTCAGGGTCTACTCCTGGGGGTTCTCTCCCCCCCAAACACTTGGTACTTCACCTTGCTTATTCTTCCAAACGCAGTTTTTCTCAAGAGTGTGATGCTGGACCCCCTACATCTTTTAAAATGTAGATTCCTAGGCCCTTCCCCAGGCCTACTGAGTTCTAATAGCTGGAATCAAGGCCCAGGAATATGCATTCCAAGCACAAGTTTTTCAGGTGACTCTTTGTGCTCTGAGCTTTCAAAGTGAACTGTCAATTTTTCTATCTAGATAGCCCAGATAAAGAACATAGCTAATCTGTGTTATTGTTTGGTTGGGGAGCCTTAACTTAAAACATTAAAACAGTGTTATTGGATGAATTGTGTCCCCCCAAAGAACAGGCTGAAGTCCTAACACCTGGTAACTGTGAATGTGACCTTATTTGGAAATAGCGCCTTTACACATGAAATCAATTTAAAATAAGGTCATTGGGTTGGCCCTAATCCAATATGGCTAGTTTCTTATAAGAGGAGACAGAGGCAGAGATTGAAACAATGCATCTACAAGCCAAGGAATGCCAAGGATTGCCAGCAAATGCCAGCATCCAGAAGAGCCAAGGAAGGATTTTATCCTACAAATTGCAGAGGGAGCATGGCCCAACTGATGCCTCGATTTCAGACTTCCAGCCTCCGGACCTAAAAGAGTAAATTTCTGTTGTAAGTCATCCAGTTTGTGGCCCTTTGTTTATGGCAGCCCTAGGAAATGCATACACAGAGTAATCACCCTGAGGTCCTAGTATTTTGGAACCTTTGGGGCAATGTTTCTCAATGTGGTCCGTAGAAGTGCCGTCATCAGAATCACCTGGAAAATGCTTATTACCAATGCAGGTTTCTAGGTACTTTCCCTTGCTTCTTACATCAGAATCCCTGGGAGCAGGACTCTGAAAAACAACATTTGTGACAAGCTACCCACTTAGAGTTTCTAAGCATATTCTGCGAGGAATGGGTTCCAGTCCCTGCTGCCGTCAGTATCACTTATTAAGCCTTTTGAAAATGTGTATACCTGGGTCCTTCCTTCGAAGGTTCTGATTCTGTAGGTCTGTGTGGGGCATGCACAGCTGCAGTGTGGAAAGCTCCTGAGAGGCACTGCTCCACATAAAGGACAGAGCACCTTAGATTTAGGACTCTTCTAGTCCCAGGCAGCCCCCCCAAAGGTGTTACTTTTTTACCAGCTCTCCAGAGGACAAAAAGAAGAGAAATGAACACTCACTGCTAGTGTAAGCCAGCTGGGTGAAGCCTCTATAATATTATATTGTCTATTCAGTCTCTGCAGACCACAAGTACACAGATTCGGGTAAGTCATATTCCTTGTTTTATGGCATATTGTCATCATGGGGGCCTCCAGGGCTGTTTTATTTGCTTACTTAATAGCACAAGTGGACAAACACCTGTGAACAAACACCTACCGACTTTTAGAGAATAGCTAATAATTTACATGACGCCTATTTACTCTCCTCCCCATCTCATCCTACTACCGATTCCTCTCCAGAAATAATCAGTACTCTGCATTTTGTTAATTACTACCTTTCTTTTATTTACACACACACATAACTCATGCATGCATGTGTACATACGTATGGCTAAACAATGTTTACTTTTGAACTTTATCAAAGTGTCAAGCACTATGTCATCTTCAACTTGCTCCTTTTACTTTACACTCTATTAGTGTATGATTTATTTGTAACTATTCTAATACCATGAAAAAGGAATAAAGTTTTGGAAGTCCACATATTGTTTTTGAGGATCCTTGTTGCTTTTGTACCTTACTCCATTCTCCTTAGCTTGGCATTCAAGGCTGTCAATGCCCCGATCCTGGCTGACCCTAATGCCTTCTACTACCCTCTTGTCCAATCAGGCTATAATGCTCACTGTTACCTACTTCCCTGCCTCCCATGTTTTTGTTGGGCCATTTCCTTCCATCTTCCTACACTTCTGCTTGGGGAAATGCTACCATTCTTCATGGTTCAATTTATGAAACTGGCCTTGATTTCCCATCCAAATCCTAATTTCCACATGCTTTGTATCTCTCCTAGAGAAGTCACATTCACCTAATATTGTAAATATCTATTCATGTGTTCCCCAAGATGTAATTTGTAAACTCCTTAAGGATCTTTTTCAACACTTGATTCCATATATAACAATGCTTGCAGTAGCTGCTCAATAATTATTGAATAAATGCGTAGCATTGACAGCTTGAAGAGAAGCAAGGTCTTATCTCTGTTCGGATTGCTAATATAGCTTAGGGAGTAGCTTGAAACTCCCTTTTCTTTTTATGCCCTTTCCCCACTCCCCTTATCTCTTGTTATGAAAAGGAGTCTATAGTCCGGATTACAATCTGGAATTAAGGAATAATCACTTTGCTAGAAACTTTGCTCTTGAATTATTTCAGTTATATGATTTTAAAAGGAAAACTATATGGGATGGGTTTACAGCCTTAAATTTTAGAAAGTTCAAGTTTATCTATAGATGCTTCTCAGTAAACATTGATAATATGTTTTCTGCCTTCTACACAACTGATGCTGAATCTCCCTTAGGTCTGAATATTTTGAAAATAGTTATTAGAATCTAATGGAGCTCAGAGAAGCTGTAGAGAGCAATGATCTCACAGACAGTTGTCATTTCTTTCAACATCATTTGAGGGTTTGGAAAACTAATCACATATTTCTTACCTCTACAGTGTGCAGGTCCCCAAAGAAACCTGGCCAATTCAGACAGGTCTATTGATTTAATTCCTTAAATACATTAAGGACTTAGAAATAAGGAAATGAAAAGTTAGGTATTGGGGAATCCTCTTTGTTACTCAGTCCTGAATCTGTGACAACTTCTCATAAAAGCTTTCCAAATAGGATTGCTATAGCTCTCTTTGCTAACTAATTAATGAGTTGCACAGATAATGTGATTGCTCCACTAAAAGGTCTGCAGCATTTGGAAAGAAGACAACCATGCAATTTCAAAAGAAATTGCAATTCTGTTCATTCGTAATGCTCTGAGTTTTGTGGAAACACCCTTACAGAATTTAAGTATCTTGACATCCTTTCTGGAAGACTCATAAAATAACAATTGGTCTCTAGACTTCATAAAAGTGATGGAAAGCTGCTGAGGGATAAGGAGGAGAGTGA